CTTAATCTTTGCCACGCCTCTCCATCAATGGTCAGGACCCAGTTATGACTCAGTCTTGGCCCGTAGAGACTTGGTAAAGATTTGGCTTAGGAGTTTGGACAGAAAAACATTGCAAGCATCCACATCAGGTTTGAAAGGGACCCAGGCAATAGGCTTCCCAGCAAGGTGCTCTCAGCCCGCTATCACCAAAATTGATTAATTGCAAAGCCGGATCCATGGCTTTTATTCTAATCTACCCACTGCCATTACCAGCAGCCTTATTTTGGATCAATAATCATGGGGCATTGGAGTTTGGGCTGTCTCCACCCACTGGAATATCTCCCAAGTGCTTCACAGCCACGGCCAATAACAGCGCTCAGAACGCGCAAAACGGCTCACCTAAGTAACTCAGGCGACGACGCCTGCACCACATCACTTTACAGTTGATTGAGGGATTCAGCTTAACCAGCCAGCCTAAACTCATCTGAGTGCATTTTAGCGTGATCCTCTGCCATGACTCTGTGTGTGTGTGAGTGAGTGAGTGTACAGTCTACCCTAATTTTCTGTTTCCTCTAGCAGCAGAGGGAATTTCTGTTCCCTCTATCAGCAGAGGAATTTCAAAGGGAAGATTTCCCCCCCTTTTTTTATGGCTTCCGACATTACTGAGCCTTAGCTCAAGGATAGGGCCCAGGATCCAGAGGCCACCTTTACTCCTACTGTGGTGGAGCTCAACCCAATACACAGACAGGGACCTGAGCTGTATGAGGAAATTAAGATTTCAAGCCATTTCGCATGGTGTGGCCATCAGCCTGCAGATGAGGCCATCCTTCTTCCTTAGCCTCTGAGCCTTCAATGCAGGCCATCCATCACTACCAGTTCCCTTTGGAGGCACTTAGGTCCCAGGGGTCAGTATCACCTGCCCATTCCTCTAGGACAGAGGTCTCATTCTCATGGCCCACGGGCCAATTGCGGCCCGCAGGACGATATCCTGTGGCCCCAACCGTGATATGAAAGTATAATATTAGTGCCGCCTTCGCTAATTGTTTTTTTAACAATGTTTTTTGTGGAATCCCTTAAGCGGCCCAGCCTCACCCAGACTCTGCCTCCAGCGGGCCCCAGGTGAATTGGGTTTGAGACACCTGCTCTAGGAGCAGACATCAGTGCTAGAAGATGAGGATCAGAGGGAACAGGGGTTCACTGGCCTATTCAGTCCAGCACTCTTTAAGTCCCTGCTTCATAAGGCCAGAACTACTGCCCAGATAGGTTCAGAGCTCTCAACTCCAATAGAACCATTGGATAACCAGGGCCCAAACAACATGGTGTTTTCTGGACCCACCATAACTCAGCAGGATATTCCTTGTCCTAGGCTGTTCCTCACTGTAGTTCAGAGACAATGGGTATAGCCAGGTATCTTTCCCATCCCAGGGGAAATGATAAAAATTATTTCATATGAATTCTATCCTCTCTGAGGCACTTGCGTTCTCTACAGTAGATGAGCTATTGACCTCCTTGGTCTCTTCCATCACTGTGCCAGGGGACATAGTGGAGACTTTGAAAGTTGAAGATAGGAAGGCAGAATTAAATTTCCATAGAATCCATCAGGCCAATGCATGAGCAGTTAAGGCAGCTATGGCCACTTCCTTCTTCACCAGAACCTCCTTACTCTGGCTCCACCAGTTGCAGATGAGAGTCCCACCTGAGGAGATTCGGATGCACCAGGATATTAACAAGCTGGTGGCAGCCACTGAATTCATGGCTGATTCATCCCTGCATGCAGCCCATTTTTCCTCCAGGGCTGTCGCCTCCAATGTGACCTCTCGACACTTGCTATGGCTATGCCAATGGCACGTGGATGCTAGAACAAAATGGAGGCTCGCCTCCTCTCTTTATAAGGGAAACTTGTTCTTCAGGGGAGGCTTTGAACCCCTTCCTTGTGGAGAACAAGGAGAAACGCAAGGTCTTGTCATCCCTGACCAGGCGAGCAGAAAGGTGGGCTTCCCCATATGTCTGCAGGCAGTCCTTTTGCCTGGTGGGCTCTGGCCTTGACTTCAGCCACTTCCGAAGCTCCTACTCTCCTAGATCTGACCACCAAACAGACAGATCAGGGTTTAGAAACAGGCCTAGACAACAATTCTAGGCCAAGCATTCCTGTCATGGCTCAGGAGGCCATCCCTTTTACTGTTCCAAGTGATTGCTAGGACCCTTCTCCCATTGGCGGGCATCTGGCTCTATTTGTGAATCAGTGGGAAAACATCATCACTGATTCTTGCTCCTGAATACAGTAAGATTTGGCCTCACTTTAAAATTTTCCTCCACACTTCCGAGACATTTCACCCTCCAAAAACCTCATCAAGAGAGGCCTTGCACATGCACCAGGACCTTTTCAGGGACCTGTCTCAGAGATTCGGCCATCCTGTGCTGGACTTGTTCACCATCCTGGCAAACTCACAACTGCCCAGATTTTTCTCCAGATTTCCAACACTGGGAACAGAAGGGATCAACACCCTTCGCAGTCCATGGCCTTCCTTTCTCTTCCCCTCATTCTGGGGGTGATCCAGAAGGTTCTACTAGAAAGAGCAGAAATCCTATTACTCGCTCTCCATTGGCCCAGATGGCCATGGTACACAGACCTGGTGAGCCTATCAGTATCCCATCCTTGGAGATTCCTCAGAAAAGGATCTCCCTCAGCCAGGGAGTCTTGGAACATCCAGATGTCAGTGGCTCCACTTGACAATCTGGCACTTGAGAGGAGTCTCCTGAGAAATGAAACCTTCTCAAGGAAGGTGATATAGACAATCCAGGCTTCCAGGAGGCCTTCCACTAACAGAATTTATGACTACCTGGAAGGCATTTTGCAGATGGTATGCTAGGAAGGGCATAGACCCCACTGCAGTATCTATTCTACAGATCCTGCACTTCTTACAGGAGGTACTGGACAAGGGGTTATCCCCTAGTACTATTCACAGACAAGTGACTGCTTTGTCCATGGTGCTAATTTATGGAGACTTGGACTCCTTTATCCACCATCCGGTGATGCATACTTTCATCAGAGATGCGGATAATTTAAAACCACCTGTAGTATACAGTTATCCCACCTGGGATCTGTCTAAAGTTCTACAGGCCCTCACTTCGGCACCTTTCGAGCCACTTCAGACTTCTAGTCTGTATTATCTGACATTCAAAGTGACCATCACTTCGGCCAGGCAAATATCAGAACTGGCAGCTCTCTCTGTCAGAGAGGATCATTGCATTTTTCATACAAAGAGGGTGGTTCTATGGCTAGATCCCTCCTTCATCCCCAAAGTAAACTCCTGGTTCTATAAGGCCCAGGAAATAATGCTATTGGACTTCTGCCCTGTTTCATCCCCTGCTCAGGAACACAGGTGGCACACTTTGGATGTAAGGAGGGCGCTCCACATATACATCAAAAGAACATCATCTCATCGTAGAACAGAGGCCCTCTTCATGTCATTTCAACCATCTTTTACGGGTATCAAGGTCACTTAATCGACCATAGGCCATTGGATAAGGGTGTGCATAGCCAAGGTTTATGAGACTCAGGCTCTCCCAGTACCCAGATGAGTAACCGCCCATTCTAAACGAAGTGCAGCTACTACAGCTGCGTGGGCAACACAGGCTGCTATTGTGAACATCTGTAGGGCAGCGACATGGTCCTCTTCATCTCCTTTCATAAGGCGCTACAAATTGAACAACTTCGCTTTGCCTGAAATGGCCTTTGGCGTACATAGCCAAGGTTTATGAAGCTCCGGCTCTCCCAGTACCCAGATGACTAACCGCCCATTCTACAAGAAGTGCAACTACTACAGCTGCGTGGGCAATACAGGCCGCTATTGTGGACATCTGTAGGGCAGCGACATGGTCCACTCCATCTCCTTTCATAAGGCGCTAGAAATTGGACACCTTCGCTTTGCCTGAAGTGGCCTTTGGCATGCATAGCCAAGGTTTATGAAGCTCAGGCTCTCCCAGTACCCAGATAAATTACCACCATTCTGCAAGAAGTGCAGCTACTACAGCTGCGTGGGCAACGCAGGCCGCTATTGTGGACATCTGTAGGGCAGCGACATGGTCCTCTC